GATTGTGATTTTGGGCGATCAAGTCATTAATAAGAGTACACGTTTTAGATATCTTGGATCTATTGTTCAGAGTGATTGTGAAATAGATGGGGATATTATCAGCAGAATTCAAGTTGGATGGTTGAAGTGGAGGAATGCATCGCGCTTGTTATGTGATAGAAATGTACCCCTCAAACTTAAGGGAAAATTCTATAAGATGGTAGTGAGGCCTGCAATGCTTTATGGTGCCGAATGTTGGCCATTAAAAGAGAAGCATAATATTAAGTTAAGTGTGGCAGAAATGAGGATGCTCAGGTGGATGAGTGGCTTTATCCTTAGAGATAGTATACAAAATGAGCATATATGTGAAAAGGTTGGAGTAGCTCCAGTAAAAGATAAGATTAGAGAGAGTCGCCTTAGATGGTTTGGTCACATAAAAAGGCGGCCTTTCGATGACTCGGTTAGGAGAGTAGAGGTATTAGATTTAACTTGTGTTAAGAAAGGTAGGGGTAGACCTAAAAAGACTTGATTAGAAAATATTAGGAATGACCTTTCTTTATTAGATTTAAACGAGAATTTGACTTTTAATAGGACACAATGGAGAAAAAGGATTCATGTAGCCGACCCCACGTAGTGGGATAAAGGCTTGATGTTGTTGTTGTTGTTGTTGTTGGTCCAACAGGTTCAGTTCAAAGACATAAGACCATAATCTTCGAGCCGGAAATATTTAAGTTAGTTGCTAACTAGATAAAACCAACCCATTTTGCACCCTTAATTGCAGCAAAGGAATGACCCATTTCATTTTTTTAAGTTGGAAAAGTTGTTTTTGAAATTTGATGTAATTTTCTAGATATCATTTTATTGTATGCAGGTTTGAAATCAACGTGATTTTAAGCTCCACAATCCTCCCCTCTAAAAAAAAACAGAATAGTTATTATATTTTCATACACGATATTTGAAAACAAAATATTATTTTCTAAAACATACTTTATGTGTACAAGCAACCAAATAAACCCTAAACACAAACCTATTGCAAACCAACACACTTATTCATACAAATACTTCGCAAAAAGCTCATTTCAACCAAAGCAAGCAACCAAACTACACAGGTTAACAAATATAAACTACCAAACAATCAAAGACACCAACATAAGTGATCCCATCAGAACAAAAAAAAACTCTGATTTTGAACCAGGGAAAAACAGTTTTCCTCCACCAGGGACCTTTTCTTGGACAACACCAGAAAAAGGTTCACGGCAACTAACAAGCAAAATAACACACTGCTATTCTAAATTCCATTGAGGTAGACCGAGGAAAAAGAAAATGAATATGACAAATGCTTTAATGGAAATAAAATAATTTATCAAATCAAGGATGCTTCAAAAGCTAAAGTACAAAACTACAAATAGTAAGAAATTCTAACACTGCTTTACCAGTAACACATGCATGAAAGGAAAGTAAGGGAAAAAAGAAGAATGAGTTTAAAAGAATCTTAAAGAAAATTGATGCGGACATCCAACCGTCCATGCCTATCCGAGGAGCAGAAGATCGACGGTCATGATCGTCCTACGTTATCTTAAGTTTTTATTTGTAATTTTTATTTTAATCATGCATTTTTCGTTTTTACCCTTACTTAAGAGTTTAATCTTATGTAAGCTCTAGAGTCATTTTCGTCTTATTTTAGTTTCTTTTATTTTTGAGGCCTATATATAGAGGTCCTTGCTAGTGTAATGGTATGATAGAGTTTTAATAAAATTTTGTTCTGCACTTTTAATCTTTGGGAGGATGTTAGTGAGAATCCCTATGGAGGGAATTGTGATTTCCACCAGCTGCAGGATGGGTCCGGCCTCGTGGTTTGAAGTCCCTTAATGAATGGCAACGTAGTACCCGTCAGCTGCAGGATGTGTCCGGGCTCGCAGTTGTATCTTTCTTTCCCTAAATCCTTTTCTACTCCTCCCTTGACTGCCGGCTAAAATCTCCCACTTTCCTCCGGCCAATTCTCCCATAAACCCTTCCACTTCCACAAAACCGGCCTCCCCTTCTCCCTTCCCATGGCCTTAACTCCACCTCCAACACCCCCCGCCAACCTCCCTAGCCACCTTCTTTCCCCTTAGCTCCACAAATCTCCCTTCACATTCAAAGCCCTTTCCTATTTTAGCCCTTCTAACTTAGTAACAAATTAAAATTTAAAATTCAAATTAATTTGAATTCGAATTTTGTTTCTAAGATTAGGATTCTTATTTTAAAAAAGTATTTGAATTAGGTCCAGTTAATTAGTTAATTGGATGTGATTTAAATATTACTCCCTAATTTAAGGTTCCAATCAAAGTCCTTTTTAATTATCTTTCCATAACCTCTCCTCCCCCTTTTAATGTCGCTGGCCCCTCCCCCCCCCCCCCCTTCTTCCTCTTTGCCTCAAAATGTGATTCCTTTGAATTACTTTCCTTTTATCAAACGATTTAAGTTAGGAAAATATTTGATTTCAAATTCTAAGTAATTTTTAATTTGAAATACTTTCCTAATTTAAGATATCCTATTTTAGGAAAGTTACTTAAATTAAATCTAATTAGGTTTCTAATTGGATTTGATTTGATTTAATTATTCCTAATATTTTGATCTCAATTAAAGCAATAAATTCAAATCTCAAATGTCCCCATTTTCCCTTCTCGTTCTACATCAAAAATAAAGCACATCACAAAACCAAGACCATTCAAAAAAACTAAGAAATGAATGAAGTTTATGTCTGAGACATCCGATCTATATATGATTATAACAATCAACAAAACACCCTCTGCACACACAGTAGTAACTAGAAAAAGATGACGCGACACTAAAAAAAGGTGCGCCTTTGGTGTTTTACAAACATAGAAATCCGTACAATTTGCATGATAACTAGGAATAAGATGAGGTGACTCTTAAAAAAGGTTCTCTTTTAGTGCTTTAAAAATGTAGAAATCCGTATAACTTGCATTATAATGAAGCAAATGTTAAGGGATGAAGTTATGATTAGCCTAATTTTCTTCTTATCCATTGTATATATTAAACCTATCATCCCCAAATTGTTTTTCCACTCTTATATTAAATCTATCTTCCCCAAATGAAAAGTTTTCTCACAACTCCCAATCATTCCAAACTTAGTGTGTTTAGTTACCTCTGTTAACCATGAGTTCATGCATACATCACAAATAAATTTAATTCTTGCTCCAAACCTTATGTTTTCCTCAACCACTTCAACAGTCAAAATCACCCAAAATCAATGCATCTAATCCTATATAATTTGTTGAGTTTATCTTTCCTTTTGCATCTCCTTCCCCATCCCCTAACACCCCTACAAAAAGAATTTCATCATGGTGTTGTACCTACATGTCACTTATCCTTCTTCCATAACTTCTTTCCATACACACCATCCACAACATCCCCCTTTATAAGACCACCATGGTCCCCACACCAAGCGACCACACCAAACCCCCATCTCCGTCATCAACAATAACACCCAACTAAATCCCCTCAACAACATCCACCCAATGACCACCAAAGCCAATAAATAGCATTTATAAACCAAAAGAAAAACTTGCTCTCAAATTTAAACTAAATGACTCACTTGACATCAAATCCACCACCATAGCCAAGCACTCAAAGATCATAACCAACAAGAAGCCATGTCAAATGAATATAATGCTCTTGCTTGTAATGAAACATGGGAACTTGTCCTCTCTTTCTCTCTCTCTTTCTCTCTCTCTCTAAATCTAGTTGGGTGCAAGAAGATTTTTCGGACCAAACATAACTCAAATTGCTCTGTTAATAGGGACAAAGCTCATCTAGTGGTTAAAAGTTTTCACGAATAACTGGGAGTTGACTAATATGACACCTTCAATCTAGTTGTCAAGCCTGTCACCATACACCTAGCTCTCAGCACAAATGCCAAACAATGACGATCTCCTCATCACTCAATGCAACAATACCTTCCTCCAATGTGAGATCTCTGAAGGCATCCTATCCACAGGCTTCATTGACATAGACCATCCTACACATGTTTGCAAGCATGGCAGATCGATGTACAGCCTTAAGTAAGCATTTTTGTATGTGGCAACATGATCTAAAACAACTTTTAGCTTCTTTTCGCTTCACCAACTCTCTACTTGATGCCTCTCTCTATTTTTCCTTGATATTAGTGATATATATATCTGTCTTCTAGTTTATGTGCAAGACATCATCAAACTCCAACACTAATGTGCGACGCTTTTTCATTCTAATTGCCCAAAGATTATATATCAAGGATCTTGGGTAACTACAACATTTTCTAGGCATTGAAGTTATTCTGCACGCACAACTTCTCATCACAACATTGATACATCATTGATCTTCTTGCTTGCACAATAGGGCTGATGACACTCTGATGACGGCACGTCCAACTACATCACCAACACTTACTCTTCATCATGGATGCACTCATTGATAAGACTAATTACAGAGTTGTTGTGGGTAGTTTATAGTAGTTAGCACTTATGTTCACATTCAAAGCCTTCACGATAAATAAATTATCTTAGTTTTTGCATTGCCCATCATCAATCACTAAACTATAGCAAAACAGCCTTTACGCTTTCTATGTGGTATTATCAAATGTGACATTCTTCTTCATCGTGACTCACCACTTCAACTTCATGCATTCCATGATGCCAATTGAGCAATTAACAAATATAACTTCACCTCTACAAGTGCCCACATAACCTATTTTAGTCAAAAATCCCAAAATTACATTTTTAGGAGTGCTAAGAAACAAAGTATCAAACCCCACACCTCCACTAAGGTTGAATACCACTTTAGTACCACCGGAACTAATGAGCGTGTTAGACCGGTCCAATGGACTGGTCCAGCCGGTCCATGCGGGACCGGCCCAGCTACATGAGGCGGAAGTTCCGCCTCCCGCACGCCCGCCGGGATAAAACAGGGCCGAATAGGAAGGTTTTTGAATGGATTTTATGAGGGAAATTTATTGTAGGGACTGTTTAGGGAATTCCTTTTGATTTGTATGCATTAAATAGTTGATTTTTCTAGGGTTTGAGTATCTTGAATTGAGAGAAATTTGAGATATCTTAGATTTAGGCTTTCTTTGGGCTCTAGCGGCGTCTAGGGATTTGGGAGAGATCGATCCTCCTCTCAAATTGAGGATCAATTGTATCTTTTCTATTTTGTTGCATCTCCTAGTGGAATACAAGTTTCTACTTGCGTTTTTCTCTCAGTTTTCCCTAAACTGTGCTGATTTCCTGCTGTCAACAGCAGAATTTTGATGTTTTACTGATACAAACAGCAGTTTCTCTGTTGGTTGCTTACCGATTTTGGTTAAGATTACTTGCGAACTCAAGTATTTCCTATCAGAGCGTCATTGGATTTGTTCCATACTCATCAAACTTGGCATCATCCTTTTTCAGGCCCTAGTGATGTATTGTGATAGTATAATTGCCACTCATCTCTTTGTGAATCATGTATTTCACTAGTTAATGAAATATTTTACTATTGATTATCACTTTATTAGAGAACAAGCCCATACCCTTCTGTGGCCCATGTATCATGTGAGGATCAACTAGCAGATGTTCTCACCAAACCACTTATACATGCTCACTTCTCTACATTGAGCATCAATATTTGACTCTTGACCAAAGCTCCATCTTGAGGGGGCATATAAATGAATAAATGCATAATTATTGTAATTATGTATATTACTATTATCATAAACATTTATTTAGGTTCCTCTTGGAGTTTCCCACCAACATTTGAAACTGAGAAACCTCCCTTTTACAACCTTGTACATTTATTTGTATTCACAACACCTAAATGAAATGATCAAGAGCTTATTAAAAACTTCAATAGTAGACAGCACAACTCAAACTTACATACAAAACTGGGCCAAGCTAGGGTTTAAACCGCAACTAAAATCTGTATTAATACTGAAAAATAGATCATTCCAGCCGAAACTTATCCTATTCCCTACTCATTCATGCAAGAGTATCTGATACGTAGATGTGCTGGGCAAGATCACAAAGTCAGTCCCCCAATAGATCTGTCGAAACCCATCTTAAACCTTGATTGGCCTCACTAAAACCACGCACACTTGACGATTTGAAGCGCACCCGAACTCAGGTAAACAATCTGAAACCGTCTCGCCACCCAAGGCCATCTCATAAATTCGAAAGATGCATTCCTTCAAAAGCTTCAATTCCGCATATCCAAACAAAACAGATCGGAAAAAATCAGTAACTTACAGTTCTTCCCGAGCTTGAAGCAATTCGCGGCCTTCTCGTATAAATCGGCGGCTTCCTCGTACTTGGATCCGAAAAGCCCCCATCCGGCGAGCTTTTTCTCAGCCTTTTTCTCGAACTCCTCGCCCCTCGCCGTTTGACCTGCCATCCCAACCGCAGCCCTACCAACTCCTCTGTGATTATCCCTCTTTCTTTTGGGATCCTGGGATGGGGAAGAGAATACGATGGCGGAAAGAAACTGAAGGCCAGAGAAAAAAAGAGAGATTAAAAAGTCTAATGGCATGATTGGGAAAGTGCCTTCATTGTTCTAAATGTTCCAATTAAAAAAAACGCGAAATATTATTTAAAAGCCATTTAAATCTAAATTTAGAAAATTTAAAATGAGTTAAATAATGAACATTATTGGTGTCAATATATGGAGAAATTATTCTGTGTTCACCGCAAATTATTGGGTCAGGCGACAGGAGGCGAAAAATAAGTTCGGACATCCAATAAAAATTTGCCGCGTCACCTTGCTCTTTTTGACTTGCGCTTGAGTTGCGCTTTTTGACTTGCACTTTAGTTGCGCTTTTTGACTTGCGCTTTAGTTACGCCTTACATGCGCTTTACTTGCGCTAATTTTAAAATAATGTTTTATTAATATCCGGACCTATCTCTGCGTTCGGTCACCTGACCCAATAATTTGTCGTTCACCGGACATCATCCGAAGGTGAATCAGGACGTGCCTCGTCACTTGTTTGATGTGTATCTGTGTTGTGTACCAATGTATACCAGATGACATGGCGCATTATGATTCGACTTCATACGGTCTGGTGACCTCGTATAATAATTTCCGCAATATATGACATGACTAGAAAATCTAATCAAGATCCGACCCAAAAATTTCGGATGTTGGTCAACTTGTCTAGTAAACAAGTCATGTTTAGGCTTAGTTCTAACCCGGTTTTAATATCGGATCATGTTCAGGTTGACCCGACAACTTGAGAATGACCCATAAGCAACCCGATTTGATTTATATTAGAATTACTGCTAATCAATAATTGTCATGCTCATTCAATCATTTCTTACTTCGTGCATTTTCTTTCCTTTCTTCCCTCGGACTCGTCATTTCGTCGTTGCAGTCTCCAAAGGACTAGATCACATCGTCTTAGCCTCTAGATCGCTTCCTACCCCCACAAAAGTTGTTATTTCTCTCTCTCTCTCTCTATTTATTTTAAAGTTTAAGTTTTTTTATTTGTATATTTTTATTTTATTTTACTTATTTATTTGTTTTTCATGATTTTGAGATTTGAAACATAGAAGGGATTCAAGGAAATCCTTAGTAGTTACTCATTCAATCATTATCTTAGCCTCTTAGGCTAATTTACTTATGCTTGCAAGTCACTCAAGACAAAGATGACTTTCATGGATTTGTTTTTTTTTTTTTTAAATTGTATTCCTCTTCTAATTTTTGATGGTTTTTGATGGATTTCATTAAGAAGAGTTAGAGAGTTAAAAGGCTACAAAACTTTTTAGGTTTTAACTTTAGCTTAATCAATTTATCTTCATATTACTAGCCCACTTACAATATATTTTAGCTTTATCAGTGTGTATTGCTTGTTTATATTCTATTTAAGCCACATTAAAATTATTATTTTTTAATATAAACAAGTTAGTGGGTTGGGTTGGGTCGAGTTACCAGCATGTATGATTTTGACACATTTAGATTTTCAGGTCGAATGGGTCCAAATTAGATCAAATTCACGTTGGACCCGAACTCGACATGAAAACCCATTTTAATACCTCGACTAAAATTTATTTAGTATAATAATGTTAAATTTAATTAAATTTAGTTGTATTATTATTATTTATATCAAATTTTAAAAATTCATATAATTAAAATATTTTAGCTTGTTATTTTTACTTAGACTAATTTAGTAATTTAATCAAAATAATATAATTAAATATCTCAACTAATAATTAATTAGTAATTTATTAAACTAGTTAAATAGTAAATTATATTAAAATAAAATTAATACTTTTTAATTAAATAATTTTAGTTATCAAAATACATTTTAAATTTTAATTAATATATATATTTTAAGTCAATATATTAAAATCTGAAACCCTCCTCTTTCTCCCCCACAACCCAAATGTCCCTAAAATTCCAAAAAGGCAAAAACCCGGTAAAGAAAAAAAGGAAGTTACAACAAAAGCAACATTTTTATAGAAAGCAACGTATTGTCTCTCTATGGAGGCAAATTATTACGTCCGGTGTCCGGATTCGTCCGGACATCAATCCAGATGCCCCACGTCACCCAAATACATTCGGTCCCAGTGTATTTGGGTGATGTGGCGCATCTGAATTGGATGTACGGACGCCTGGTGACCGGACGTAATAATTCAGCCTCTATGGATACATTCATATGTTAAGTGCCTTGTGTGTCATATTCAATACAATAATGTCGATAGCTTCTAATTGGTTAAATTTCTATATAATTTTCTCCATCGCAGTCCAAATTCTGTATGTAAACCGATCATATATTTGCAAGCATAAGCAAAAAAATTCAAATGAGTTAGGCTTCGTTTTGGGCGGCTTTCCTAATGCTTTCAAAACAGCTTTTTAGTACAAGAAATTTTTGTACTAAAAAGCTGCTTTAAAAAGCAATAAAAAAGCTGTCTCAAATGAATCATTATTGAAGCTTCTTCGATAATGTTCCATTGTAATTTTGAAATACAAATAAACATCGAATAAGCTTCAAACAATATTCAATTATGAGTTGAACATGCCCCGATCAAGGTTAATATAAGTTAACAATATTCAAAAGTTATAATCTCATATATAACATCAATCTAAGTTTAGGGCTGAAAGTGTAAATATCTAATATTATTGAAGATGAACTATAACATCGCTAACTTTTAATAGAAATTATGATCTAGATAGAGACTAACAGAAATATAATTGTTGCGGACTAGAATATACGCGCCGGTAGAGTTAAGAAATTTTCGTCTCAGTGTTGTACAGATATCTAGCACACAAACAGATGAGAAATAACAACACAAGAATTTTTTACGTAGAAACCCTGAAAGGGAAAAAACCATGGGGCCATGCCCAGTTGAAAAAATTATACTAGTATTTTGCTTGAGATACAATAGGCTGACTCATTCACAAAAGTTAGGGCAATCAACTTACATTGAATCTCTTCTAAATTGAAATTCAGTTACAATGTTGAGCAGAATTCTGGCGTCACTTGGGTAGAATTCCGTCGTCACCCGGGTGTCCGGTAGAATTCCGACATTACTCAGGCGGCGGGAAGGACTCCGGCGTTGGTCGAGGAGGAGCTATTCCCTCTTATCATTCTCTTCTCTTTTTCTTGCTTGGATCTCCTCTCATGAGAAATGAGGGGTCTATTTATAGATTTTCTGGAGTGACATATCTTGTAAATAGGTGTGAGATCAGGGGCAAATAGGGAGTGATCGAACGGATGACTGATATTGAATCCCTTGATCGTGCACAGTTCGTCAGACATTTGAAGGTCTTAATGATGTCGAAATTTGGCGATCTTGGGCTAGTTGGATTCGCCTCGTCGAGCCATTCGATTCGATTATAAGCTCGTTAAAATCGAAGACCGTTTGGTAAATTTAATTGTGGTATGAGCTTTCCAACAACACTTCGGATGCTTGATTTAGGCTCATTTGGGCTCGGATTGAGTTGAAAATTTGGTGTCGTTGGGTTCATATTTCCGAGACGCTCAGTTTGACTATAAGCTCGCTGAAAATCGGAGTTCAGGTGTTACCGAATTTAATTTTTGAAGTTTTCGGCTCGATTTTGCCTCGAGATTTGTGCTCGATGATGATAATTTTTGAGAATATATCAATAATATTAAAGTTTTGCCTCTAAATTATCTCATGAACAAAAATTATTAGAGAAAAGAATGCGCTGAGAATAAGAAGGCCGGCCTATCAATTATCGGAATGATCATTTATATAAAACCCTAAAGCCTTTTTAAATTTAGAGGTTTTCAATCCAAACAGAACTTTTGAATATATTTTTTCAAGAAATGAAATAATGTAAATATTTATGGAATTTTAGATATAATATGGGATATATATAAACTCAAATTTTCAAATACACACAGGCATAGGCATGCGCGCACAAAGATATATCTAATTACACCATCCAAAGCCCAAACATCAGGGCTTGAATTGGGCTGCCATAATCTGCCTAGCCCATTTATTTGGCCCACTCAATTAACAACAAGGCTTAGGCATTCGCCTTAAAAGCCCTTGCACTAAAGCAGTTTATTGTTATTTTTTTAAAGATCTTATTCGAATATATATATAATATAAATTTAAACACTTTTTTAATAAAAAATATTTTAATTAATTTTTTTTTAATGAAATGCTTTAAAAAACATTAAGAAATCTATCACAAACGAAGCCTTCATTTATAAAGAAAAACGACTTCTTAGCTACATGATATGAGATAATTATAATATATGGTAATTTTATTTCAAAATTAAATATCTAATATAGCCAAAGTTTAGATCATAAATCATTTATGAGAATAATTTAAACATTTTATTTTAAAATTAAATAACTAATATAGATGAAATGTTATAAGAATTTTTATTTAACTTTCAATTTGAGTTATTTTCATAGTATGAGTAATTATTGTAATTAAAAAAAATACAAGATTAGAGTCATAAATACAATTAGAGCTAAGAAAAATAAGACTGCTAATAGATATTAAATTTCTTCACAATGTCTAACAAATTTGCACTCCACATAATTTAATTTAGCTGCTCTTTTTAGATCTCTCTAGGCACCAACAAAACTAATTTGAAACTATTTCTTATAAATGATTTAATTTTGTTGGGTGCTAGAAAAAAATAATGTGAATGAGTGCATTTTTTAAATCTTAGTTTTGCATGAAAAATTAGCGTGCATAGATAAAAGTTGAGAGACCAAAAATTTATTTCGTAGAAAATCTGATAAAGAGAAAAATCATGATGTCTAACCTAGCTATAATAATTCACTGTATAATATAAGATAAAAATCATCAATTCCTTACAGCTGAAGAATATGAGATGATTCATAATTTAGAACAATTTGCTCATTTCCATTGTAGGGATCATAGAATTCAAATGCTCATAGACACACGATTAAAATCCCAATAATAGGGTTAGATAATGAGAGAAGTTTAGAAACGGTGGTAGTTGTTGGTAGTTATTGTCGTAAAAGGTGATGAAGTTATATAGTTCTCACGAGCTTTT